ACAAGTATTACAAGTGGGACGGCTCAGTGGAGACGACGAAAGACGGTTACATCTCCGCCGCGTGCAACGACAACCGCGGCGGAAGCGACGTTATCGTGGGCGAGTGGTCCATCTCCGTCGCCGACTCGGTCCAGTTCAACGACGAGTTCCAGATCGATAACAGGCCCGATCAAGTGGAGTGGTACAAGCAGTTCTGGGCCGCGCAGGCGCAGACGTTTGAGAAGTCCGGAGGCTGGGTGTTCTGGACGTGGAAGTGCAACTGGATCGGTGGTATGGACGAGTGGCGGTGGTGCTATCAGTCTGCTGTTGCTGCTGGCGCTATCCCGAAGGATGCTGCGAGCGCTGCCAGTATCAGCCCTTGCTAAGCCGACCCGAACTTAATAGCGGTTATATGGTATTAAACATAGGTTTCAGTTTCTATTTCTTTGTGTTCCGTGGGCACTTGTATTATTTATAATTTCTGTTATCCGTACCTTTATCCTTTATTCAGCCTTTGTAATATCTTGCCAAGTATATGTATAGATACCTACGTTGGCTATCCAAACAATGCAATGTATTTGACCTGCTGTAAAGCTCTAGATTGATACTTCCCTTGCCTCTAGCTATGTTTCCCTATGATACTATCCCCATTAGCTTTTTCCGGCCTGAAAAGTTGGATGGCCATATCTTGACCTAGGATGTCTCTTTTCCTATATTTGAATTTAAATACTGCTGGTAACGTTGCCAATCAGGTCGGACTGGTTGTATTGGAGGCTGAAGTACGCCTTATTGTGAACCCGCCTCTTTGAGTTTCACTATAAAATTAGCAATGAACTTTGTCAAACAATCCTCTTGTCTTCAGTCTTAGAACATTCAAATTATAAAACAATAAGACATGCACTATTTTAAGAACAATTCCCGAAAGGGGGGCCATTGTCACTGAATTATGAACCTGAATTCCATTATGTAAAAGCTCAGGTTAAAGTCGCATGAATTCACTATTGGCGTATGGAGTATCTAGCTTCCATACATTTCATCTTTCAAACAACTAAGTCCGACATCTTGTAAATTTCTCACTATATAGAGATACCTTAGGTGGGAAATATTCAAGTTGAACAGCCTACGAGTACCTACCTATCAAGACAGCACACTACCTAATACAGAACTATTATCAAGCCGGTCTTGATATAACTACTCTGAGAGCGGTAGATTTACTTTGATGCCAGTGATTTCAGAAAATCAACTCAGCTGTCTACCTAGGTACCTACCTAATCTGGTAAATACTTGAACAAGATGTGCCGGAAGATCTGTACCCATTACATGCATCATGATGTGCGACAACTCATGATAACCAATCTTGATCATCAAAACCAAGCTGTTTACGCTAACCCTTTACATACAGTCTTTCATCAGTGTGAGATAGATACCCCACTGCCGGAGCAGTGGCTTCTTAACAACCCTTTTCCAACATGCGAATACCATAGTTGTTGCCAAGTTTTCAACAAGGTTCATTACTGCTCCGAGTTCGTCAATGAATTATTAGAAACCTCCTCTTCGGAAGATGATTTCGAGCCTCAACCTGAGAACTGCTCGTATTTCATGCAAGAGCACAGACACAAACCTCTAGAATACCTCGGCCAGCCCGGGTCTTACCCTATGGGTTGCCCAGCAACTTGGCAGGAAGGCATAAAGGAACTCGAGAAGATCTCGTTTCCTTACTTCCGACAAAACAGGAAGAAGTTCTTTGAGTTTGCAACCGCGCTGTTTCTCTCGTGCGAGGAATATTACCAACTAGAGAAAGATGCCGAGACGCTGTTTCTGGTCTACCGCGACTTTGTTAATAACCTGCCGCGAGGAGATCCTCGGATAGCCATCGCGGAAGCCAGTATACTTAATATCCAGAACAAGGTCACCCAGAAGAAGAATGAGCTGTTTTCTAGGGTGGTTTGGGCGAGGGGTCTGGATGTCGAGAAGTATTCGCGGGGCTTTATACCTATATGGTGGTTACGCATGTGGGCTTTGCAGCAGGAAATGGAAGAGAAAGAACAAAGCGATGATTACTTGAGTGATTCTGATCGCTCAAGTAATTATAATATTTAAACTAAGATGGATCATACGAAAGCGAGTTAGGCAATGGTAGGACGCGAATAGGGAACTCATGTAGAGTATACACCTTACTCTTATGAATAAGGTAAGGGGTCATCTTAGCTTATTGACTGGTCTATCATGATTAGTGGTATATTTTGGGTGGTAATATCATAACTAGGTAGGGCTATACGCTTGACCAACAATGGTCATAATGAGGCATTTTACTCACTTGATGTAGGGCATATAAACACACCGACGAATCTGGTGCTTGGGGAGTTTGTTTATGGTTTAATACTGGTCATTAAAAAGAGGTGGCCAGGTAGTTACATGTCTGTTTAATATAATTATATTTTTTTTAAATCATCATCGTATATGTAGAAGGTCTTGTAAATACCCCTACTTGGTCTTGTTCATGCCGCCCTAGTGCGTTAGCCCCTGATAAGATCAAGTAGTATAGGCTGCTCAGGAAGTTTCGACATGAGGCTTCATACGAACTAGGCAGAATCTGAGCTGGGTGTTGGTCTTAATGAATAAGTTATAATAAAATCAGCTAGAAACATATTCTAAAAGGGATCAATCTAGAGGGGAAGTATATTGTGGACGTGTATATCATAAACGTAGCAATGTCAACTCCTTTAACGGATGATATGTGGGGGGAAGATATAATTTGGCGGGGACGGCGCTCTATCTCTCCACAGTAGAAGCTATTCGAAATAAGGCAGCAATATCTCAATGCTCTTGCTTTCCATTCTCGAATGGAAGCAGATCGTCCGACACGATGTTTGAAAATGATGGTTGATTGGATTGGGCACCTTACACTAGGTATTATTGCAGTGACAAGACTTTGTTACTATTTTGATTTTTATCCGGCTGGACCATACTACGTAGATGTAAAAATCCTATGTATTCATCTCTCTACATAGTTCCAACCAATGCAAGTCTTTCGAAGGTGAGCCAAAGTGTATAGCAAGCGTTAGGTGCCGGCTCTTGATAGATTATGGGATGCCGCTTTATCGTGCATAATAGTTACATAACTTAGCTTAGAAGCAATTGTTAGTTGAATTCATGAAGCCGGAAATAGTAACTTATCCCTCGTCCTGCAAGGTATAGGGGCCCCCATGAATAATGCTAGTACGAAATGGTATAAGTGGTGGCATGAGCCATTTGGTTGCCGATTTAAATCTTGTCGATCAGTTGATAACTTCTGGGGTGGGCCCCTGTTAGCCGCTCCGCTACATAGATATTAGCCGTAGTTTGTCTTCCGCCGTTATACATACACAGTATTCTATGCTGCTAAACTTCACTAATAACTTTTATGAGAACTGTCTGAAACCTATAAATCGGACTCAGAGTATATCCAGAAAATTGAAAATCTTATGAAATGCTTGGTTGGTCAACCTCTCATAATCGATCAATACCCCGTTGTGGCGTTTTTCTTTAGCTGACGTGTTTCGTATAAAAGGCTGTAGTTGAATTGATGTAATGCCGTAGAAGCAAGGCGTGCTTGGAACCAATAGTCGGCAAATTGTGGTACGGCAAAGAACATTTTTAACCCGGTCTATTTAGTACAAAAGAACCTTCGTGTAACCGGTTTTGACATTGCTTTTACCTTCTAGTGTGATGCACCCCGCATAAATTCCACTTGTAAAGGGCTGGATAAATTATATAACGTGCATATATCACTATGCGGCTCTTAGGCATCGTATATATATATCTTGATTTCATTACGTACTAGATTCATAATATAATACGACGCGGCAACTAGCTGCGCTTGGTTATGGTTATTGGTTCCGTTAATTTATGAAATAGGGGTAAAGGGGTTAGCTGCATTTTCACATTTTGAGGTTCGTTGGCGGCCCGGAGATGGCCGCTATAGGTGGCGATATTAAGTAATTGCGTTTCTACCGCTGTAGTACCAAGAATATGGAAGAATAGTGTTCATCTATAAGGACATTAGATGTCTAGAGTATGTTCTAAGCGACTACGATGGCATATTTTTCTCGTTTAAAAATATGATCTTCAAGTCACATAAATCAGGAATCAAATTGATCAGCTAGAAAACAACGTGATCGCCACTAGGGAGTAAATAAGCTTAAAATTTGACAGCTGCGATCGTCAGGTCCCAATTCCATTGTGTTGAGCCGATGTCGGCAAGAAAATGAGGATAACTTCATATTTCTCAGCATAAATCTTGGCACAACCGAACATTTAACAGATAAATTGGATGCCACGTAGGCTTCCCATTGCCAATGATATGGGTTTATTTCTAGGCTAGTTCTTGGTGACATCTATACTCAACACAGACGTTGTCAAAATTGCGCAGCAGCACGCAAAGCCAGGGGTAGGCAGGCGATAGCCAATAAGGGCACGAGTCATTCACACCTCCTTCATCGTGACAGGAACAGAAGGCCTTCCAACTTATACCGTAGAGCCTATTCCGATACTATGGGACTATCGTTCGGTTTGCGGACACAATATCCGTCAACGAAAGCAGAGCCTACTTAGTTACCCAATGAAAAGGTATAACCGTATTTCGGTAGTTTGAATTCATCAATTTATATTGAGTTTGCTTCATTAAACGAACGAACCAGCGATTCATGAAGAGTTAACTGGGTTGCTCGATAACATCGACGTCATCCCGCAGGGCTGGCAGTCTTCATGTGGTGGGACAGACATCTTGAAGACCGTTTTGAGGAAAGCGAGGATGCGAAAGCATGTGGAAATTGTAATTTCGACGAAGCACGCAATCTTGATCGGTGAACAGCTGGGACGTGGGAAAGGGGCTGTCATAAAAAGTATAAATAAGGGACGTCGACCCCATAGATGATGCTCTTCTTCTGTTCTTCATCAGCGGCAACAACGCAATCGATATAATCGGCTTCTCTACAACCCCCCTCTCAACCTCAGCACCTTAGCCTCGACTCATCTTCAATATGAAGGCCACACTTTTCACCCTCTTCGCCGTCGGCGGCTTTATCGCCACCAGTATCGCTAACCCGATCAATGCCGAAACTAGCGTTGAGAAGCGCCAGGACATTGATACTATCGAGACAAGTCTAGAGTCCCTTTACGCTCAGATCCAGGAGCAGACCGCCATAATCAGTGAGTGATCATTGAGAGGGGCCGACGACTAGAATGATCTAACAAATAGCTAGACTCGACTCTCACCCCCGTGGCTGATGGCGCTTCCGAGGCTGATGCTTCGGCTGCTGCCGAGTCTATCGCTCCTCAGCTTGACGCGATCGCAGATCTTCTTGACAAGTCTGTTATCATCGCTAAGCGCGCTATTGTTGAGGCCCAGTTCTTTAAGGAGGACATTTTCAGGACTGTTTCTTTCATCCTATTTGAGCTCCTTGGTACCGTGAAGTTTATTCTCATCAAGCTTGGTCTCGGTAAGATAATCTCGCTGCTACGTTTTCACGCGTCAAACTAACGGATAACGTCAGGTCCCGTTTTGATCCACCTGGTTCCTCTCATCCTCGCTCTTGTCAAGCTCGTTAAGGCCCTCGACAAGGTGGTTGATGGTCTACTTATTGCAGTCAAGTTTATCGCTGATGACCTTCTTAAGGCTGTCGGTTTTGGTCTTCTGGGTCTCCTCCCATAAATGACTTATGCATGGCCTTTAGCGAAAAAACACTCACTTGACCGAGGTATAGAAGTGGAGCATCTATTTTCTAATAGTTGTTGTCGCTAGCGTCGAAGGTATACATCTTTGGCGTCCTGGGTCATTGTTGTCTTTTCGTCCAACTTATATTCTCTCAAGGAGCAACTAGCATAGGCATAGACGAGAACTCCTCGGTAGTCCTAGACTTACCGAGCACAAGTGCTGACTTAATGAGCCATGAGCAATAAAAATATTGGTGAATCCAATTTCAGTTTTCCGGCGAGTTCCTCATACATATCGGTGACACTGTAATATTAATGATAAGAATGAGTTCGCGAAATAGTATCAAAATACAAAAAGTGGAATATAGGGGGGTATTAGTGGGGGTGCGGTAAGACAGGGATAAAGCAGGGATAGAGTAGCTGACACAACATCCCATCTTTTAATTGGCTGATATTCCTGGTGAAACTTGGCATCCCCTGAAAAGGAGATCTTCATTGAGGCTCTTTCGCCTTGCGCAACGTCAAATACCCTACAAATACCCTACAAATACCCTACAATTGGCCAATGGGAAAAGAAGACCCTCGTCTCCATTAAGCTTAACGCCCCGTCGACCCGTCGACTTTCAAACCAAAGTAACCGAAGCATTTCGGACATGAGACGAAAGACGGCTAACTCGGCCTTGGTATTTGTTTGACGGTTCGACGTTCCGCATTACACCCCCGTGTTGATCGACGGGCAAGTTTTTGATAAAAAGCGTCAAAGATCTCATTCTCAATATGATCGCCATTCTTCTGCTCATCTATCACTTTTCGATTCTATCATCCTTCTGTGAAGGGACCTTGCTTCATTCGTAATCTTCTATTCATTCGTTCTTAGCTGGTTCTGGGCATTCTCCCTCGTACTTCGTACATATATCACTTCGTACATATATCCCTATTAATACGATCCGCGCTCGTCAAACCATCATAATGCGTACCTCATTCTCTATCGCCGCTGTCCTTGTTGGCACCGCAGTCGCGGCCCCTACCATTCCTTTCGTCACTACGAATGCGGTGATACCGCTGCAAGATGGCGCCACTGGCGCATTGAGCGCGATCGCAGAGGTTAGCCGACGACAAAGTGCTACGCAAGCTTGCTTCGTCATCGGCAGCACAGCGCTACCCCAAGAAGTCGCCGATGTCGCCGCCAGCCTGGCCTCAACTGTCACATGCGACAACTCCGTCAAAACACTCTCTGGTGTGCCAGACGTTACATCCGGATCGACGACCTTCTCGTCCATCGACTTTAGCAAGTCTAAGCAGACTCCACTCCAGTTCGCGCTGTCGCAGTTCGCAACAGCTGAACCTCTTGCCAACACGGACCTGCAGACATTCCAGGACATGCTTAACGTATACGAGGCTACTGAAGCTGGTATCCGTAGCGTCGGTGGTTCTTTAGCTATTAAAGTTCCAAAATTCTTCCTTGAGATGCAGGTGTCACGAATCCAGACCGCTCAAGGGAACCCCCCGACTGCTGCTGGGCTCCAGGTCGACCACCTTCGCGACAAGGTCCTGAAAAACGCACCTAAGGAGGCCTCAAACCTGCTAGACCAGGTCACGCAACTCGCGACGCAGCTGAGCTAGATGCCTTGAAGGGGGATTAATGAATAGTACTGGTATTTGTACATGACATTCGCATTATTCGCAAGACGTCAAACCTAGCTGAGCTGGCTAGGAAACGTTTATAATGAAATATTTAGGGAGATATTGTATTGTTCATGCACTCGTGGCCACTTCCGTCTACCGACGTCTATATATGCAGCTCTATGTCTACCCGTAAACCTGTATATGGATTAAATATTTGGTGATAATAAATCGTATTTGACACATCTCTCAACCTGCGCAAGGGTAATTAGTATTATATTTATAGTGAAGAAAGAAATTGTTGGACTCACGTCTTCGATGCTACCTTGCATAAATCTTCTGGCCTCCAGTCCTGCCCAGATGAAAAACATCGAGAAATCGCCGCCCTTGATCATATCGGCTCCACCTTGCGCACCCAGCTGTCTAAGGATCGGTAACGAACTGCTCAGCAAATCCACGTTGGGATCGAGACTACGACCAATACCTTCGAGGAGCAGGATACTGATCACAACGTTTACGAAATCGCCTTCTAGCCTTACATGGTGTTGCCTAACCATGTCTAGGACTTGTTGTAAGATGTCCCCAATTTTGACGCTGCCCAAAGCGAGAGTTGAGCTCTTGACGTTTAGGACGAGGTGTTGCATCTTCAGGGCGAAGACTTCCTTGTCGATAACCGCGTCAGGTTGACGGCAACGTTCACACATTAAGTGGCCAGCTTTATATCCGTCAAACTCAGCAACAGCACGGAAGAGGTCTAAGAAGTTGCGGCGATTCGTGGCGTTGAGCTCAGTCACGAGCCCAGTGTCAATGAATATAAGCTGCGGTCTAAAACCTTCCTCGTCGATCTTCTTCAGCTCCGCTTCCCACGCTGCAAAATCTCTTCTTTTGCGGTATGGACGAAGGCGGGCCAAGACTTGCTCGGTCACGTCGGCGTGCTCTTGAGGATGAGGCGTTTGACCGTCACTTGACTGGCGCAAACTAAGCCCAGGTGTATCCGCTTGATAGAAGCGAACCATAATATTGCCGGGATGTAAGTCAGCATGCACGAAGTTATCGATTAACAGCATACGTAGGAAAGCATCAAGACCCTCCTGTGAAATATCCCGCTGAAAGACTCCACCGCCGTTCTCTAGAAAATCTGCCAGGGGCATTCCCTGTGCGAATTCTTCAATTAGAACCTCTCGCGTGGTAAACTCCAGGTAAGGAAACGGGAACCAGGCCGTCGTTCGGTCTTTAAAGTTCTTTCGAAACTTGGCAAGATTGGCAGCTTCTATACGTAAGTCAAGCTGTAACTTCATCATCTCTCCGAATTGCGTAACTTCGTCAGGCAGAGATAACCACTCGATCGTTGGTATAATGTTGAGGACAGAAGCGAAAAAGCCCATAATACGAAGGTCACGCCGAACGGTTCGTTCGACTCGTGGGTGCAATACTTTAACAGCAACGTAAGAAGAGGGGACGCGCTTTGGCACACTCTTCAAAACTGTATCGACTTTACGTCGAACTTGTCGCCGAAGATTGCCACGAGTCTCTAAGACATCGACGTCCCCTGGCGCAGCAAGATCGGGCTTCAGTTTTGCTCTATACACCTGCGCGATAGCTCCAACACCAAGAGGGGATTGCTCAAATTCTTCAAAAATATCATCAAATCTCCTCCCATCGAATGCCTTTTCTACTATCCGCATCGTCGCTTCCAGGGAATGCGCGGGAGCATTAGAATGCAGTTTAGCCATGATATTACACATTTCTGTCGGAAAGATATCAGTTCTCGAAGCTGCCCATTGGCCAAGCTGTATTGCCCCTACGTTAGCCCAGATACTACGATATCATCATCACCAACAACATTGACAAACCTTAATAAATGCTGGCCCAGCCGCCTCCATAGCCTTGACTAGGAACTTATACCACCATAATGTACCAGACCGCTCATTATCGCGGTGCGCATGGCGACTCCCAACCCATATAGCCGGCACCGTTAATATTACAGGGATGAATATGAAGACCAATTCGATGAATCTTAGGCCAGTACAGAGGGGTTCCCAGAAATACGAGTCCAAAAATATGACTAGCTTATGGCCCAAGCGGTAGATTCCTCTCTCGTCATCGCGGACTATCTTTCTTAACTCCTCTCGCGACGCTTCGAGCATGCGGCCCTCGGTTGTCTTTTCCGCCTCTCCATTATCGTCTTCGGATAACTTGACAAAAACGGCGGTTCCAAGAGCAGCATTTGCTGTCGCTTTAAGTACTCTGCTGCTAACCTGTACGCTCCTCCAGGGAGGAGGACGTTGTATTCTGGCTCGGAATGTCGAATGCCATCGTGCGATGTTCACAGGAGTCTTCGGAGCTTGGGGAGCTCGACGAGCGCAGAACCGGCTTAATAAAATGACCGGTCGCATATCTAAGGAAGCATGTGTTTATAAAGGGGGGGAAGAATTGATTGGCATGATGGGCAATCCCATAACCTAGGTAGAGTATTGATCAGTTTAGTGGGATTGCTTAGGTACTGAATGAGAGAACTTCGTATCATTGACGCATGTGAAATGGGTAGGTTAGCGTCGTACAGAATCGCGTGGTTCGGAAAGCTACTGCAAACAACGGGTTCGGGATTAACGGGTGTGACGTAGTAGATCTAGAAATTTAGATTTGAGCTACATACATAGTAGGTTAGCTAGTTAAGTCCTGGCAAAACCCCGGCATTGGGTACATGTATGTACTATGTACATACATACCAAGCAGTCGGTTATTACGTAATAGCTTCAGACTCCCATTGCCCCGGTCATCATATGGATCGGTGTTTCCCGCGACTGACTCAGCCTTATAGAAACCGACGCGGCAAATAAAAAAAAAGTTATTGAAGTTGAAGGCGATAAGCCCCTCAGCGACAAGCCATTTATTGGAATTCTACCTTCAATTCCTATTTCATACAATTACACACGCCTCAAAATATCCTACAATCTTGCTTTTTGCCTTTATATTCTTTTATTTCTAGACTTAAATTATCATCATGGGTTGGTTTTGGGCAGACGGTCCTCAGGGCAAAGTCCAATTACAGCCTTTATCGCATCGCTCTTTTGGATCCCAAGATGGAGGGCGCATACCCCCTGTAAGCCATATTTAAGCCCCTAGACGCCGTACATACACTCTAATTATCCTCGACATATATAGCCAGGTTGTCCTATGCATAAACACCAGAAGTCAGCCGATGCATTGACTTCTCCTCCAGCCGCCTGTCCGGTGAAGCATACCGCCGATGCCACCAAACCTCCCTCGGCATGCCCTGTGCCCCATGAGTCTAGAGGTGGCTGGAAAGAAGAACGCGATTCACAATCGACATTTTCGAAACTAAACCCTTTAAATTACATGTTTCGCGACCTTTCGCAAGTACCGGCTCCGGACCAAACGCAAGCTCTTCCTACCTCTCGAGAACCTTCAACTATTCCCAGAGGCGATGGAGACGGTAATTGGGAGTACCCATCCCCCCAGCAGATGTACAATGCTCTCCTTCGCAAGGGCTACACAGACACAGATGTTACTGCGATAGAGAGCATGGTGAGCGTGCACAATTTCTTGAACGAGGGAGCATGGGCCGAAATTATGGATTGGGAAAAGCGATTCGCGGGAGGTCTATATAAGGGATGGCAGTTGTGCAGCCATGGCGAACAGAACTTTGAGAATATGGCGAAAAAATACGGATATGAGAAGGAAATGGAGGATTTAAGCCCGAGCCTTGTCAGGTTCCAAGGGCGGCCAAAGGACATGACACCTAAGGCTACTATGTTTCAAGTCATGGGATGGCTCTACCCTGCGGCATTCGGGTAAGATTCTAGTATTTATGCCGATACAGCTTCAAACTAACCCACTTCATAGTACTGAGCCACCCTTCGATCGACACGACTGGTACGTATCCCGAGATACGGACGGCCGACGGAAAGAAGTTCGTTATATTATTGACTACTACTCTGGACCACCTGAGCCTACGGGAGAGCCAGTATTCTTCCTTGACGTTCGACCTGCCATGACACCGAGTGGAGCGGCTGAGAGGGCATTAAGATGGGGATGCGACGTATGGTGGAAGGCTATAGGAGGTGACGCCCGCGAGGAAGAAAAACTAAGGAAGATGAACGGGTAAAGCGGCTATATATGTGACGACTACGACTATAATTGATGTCGATTAGGCACGGAGTTTTGGCTTACCTTTCGGGATGTACTATAAGGGAAGGCTCAACGGTTCTTGCGACACCTGGCGACGCATCATGATTCCTCAAAATTCACGAAGTATTTGTTTTCCTCTGTATCATAGTTCGCAGCCTCTACCATCCCCTCTTCAGCTAAAGAGTAGGAGTAATAGACTACGTGTCTAAACAATAGACAAACTCCAACAAATAACTTGTATACTTAGGAGGTAGGTATCTTTAGTTGATAGGGCATGAAGTATGCAGGCTGAGAACGACGTAGCAAACGCTAACGCCGTGTTGCACGTCTTCCTCCGGTAATACATTTTTGTCGTGAAAGGCCGCTGGGGGATACTATGTAATAAACCGGGTAAATTGCCGCGGCATATCAACTCTTTGGGCACTACAATAAAGTCCCATCTATGCCTCTAGTTCTAGACGCATGTTAGAATTGCTAAATTTTATTAATAATAGGTGGTTGTTACTATAAATGTCATTCCAACCCCTTGGCTTGTTAATTCCCCGCAGATTCCCTTACGCGCATCCGTCGATTCCCGTGGCATATTCAGATCCTACCAAGATCCTTCAACGTGTCCAGTTCCGACATATTGTAACAACCCGCGGGAGCTCACGCATATTTAAGCATCGTGCCTGAACCATTGGCTCTTTTCGTGTATTACATGCGCAAGATTACCCTATACGCTCTCTTATACTCCTACTCTCTTCCGAACATAACCGGGTTTTCCAAGCTTCAGTCTGTCGTACGGAATATCTAGTCCCTCAACCAGGTACTAGTTTTCGCGATAGAAAACTCACCTCCTCGATTAGACGCAGAGCTTTAAGTAAGTGTCTCTATACCTTCACTTCTAGCGAGCTTGAATTTATATGACAAGGTCCTCTGTGTACCTGTAGTATTAACCAACTAGATCAAATTGGCACTACCTCACATATAACGAGCCGAATACATAACACCATTTCCTAATGCTACAGCTAACTTACCGCCACTTACTCAAGTGGAACGTTCAGAGCTGGCTGGGAAACTACAAGGTGACAACTCTAGACGAGCTCTGGATAGGACTTTTAGCGCTCGAGGCTCTCCTGATCACAGGCGTTCTTGGCTTACGGGTCTTGGAAGCAATAGGGTGGACGACACACAAGTCGAGGTGGATCAGGTCTAATAGTATATATTCATAAATAAATATTATACAATATAGAAAATTCACAATGAAAACCCTCCCCAAATGTTATATCATAAGTGAAGTAGATATGACTGGGCTAAGAGATAACGAGACCTACCTTATTAATAGGTAAATATCCCCATAGTATTTTAGCTCATAATTCAACAAGTTGATAGATACTATAATCCACGAGTACAACACTTGGGATTTAACGATTAATATAAGTATATATGCTCATTAATCCATCCAAAGCATATCAATCCTACCATCCAGTACGGTTTCTCTTTAAAAGATCCTCTTACAGATCTTTATGCGTTCTTCAACGCCATCAACCCGATACGTCATCATTCGCGGCACAGCTATGTCTATCTCTCTGGGTAATACGTGTAAGTAACCGTTTGGTAAATTTCGAGCTATCATCATCATATCATCCTCTTCGTCGTGTTCGTGTGATGCACAGAAGTACTTGGTCTCTCATCCAGTATCCCGAAGTGTACTAGAAAAATAAGCTGCGCGATCTTCTAGTGTCTTGCCGAAGAAAGGAAACGCTTACAAGTGACAATTCAAGTAATACGACAGAAGCAAAGAGTCTGTTAGTATAAGTCAAGGTCATATTTTAATAGTTTATCATTGTCTATATGTAATACGTTGATTAGAGCTTAGATTATAGTATTGCCTTAATCACCCTTTCTTTAGGACAATCGGGCGGTTTAGTATCAATGCGAAAAAGGCATAATATTTAATCTTGATACTAACAACCTTCTAGGTTTCAATTTGTTATTATAAAAGAAGTTGTATAACTTGTCTCTCATACTTTTGTCTAATATCAAATAATCTTGAGGGTAGAGGGGTCATGAGTTACCCCCCACTTAGCCTGTAATAATACATCCCGTCTTTACTGTAGGTGCTATTCTTTAGCCTTTTCGTAAATATGCTTTCTTAGATTAAGACTCTTAATGACTACGAGAGTACCTAAGTTATTGCACGTCATCCTTCTTCGTCATAGAGTGTGGTTATACAACGCCGGGTAAAGAATCCTATTCGTGTCTCGGTCAGTTTGAAGAGCGCGAGACGCGAGAGACGCGAGAAGCGGTCATAGACATGTGCTTCCAACCAGCGTAGCAATAGAGAAGTAACCCAAGCGCTAGATTAGATAGCAGGTATCGCTTATAACTATTCTGTAATCCTGACGGAGTCAACTTATTAATCATCGGCTCGCGATCAAGCGCGATGTTGTAATCCCATATCAGGTACTCAATCCAAGTATCGCGACCCAGATCGTTTTCAATATAAACCTCATTTCTATGTCGAGACCCTTTCCTGGAAACGCCACTATTTCTCCTCGTCTCAATATATTTATTTCCATTGCCAATAGAATAATTTTGTCTTTCATTGAGTTATATTATTGATATCATGTCTACAGCTCCCTCGGGCTCAGTTCTCCTCTCCCGTGGAACTATCATAGCCTTCAACGAAGAGACTGAGGCTATCGAGGTAGTTCGGAATGGCTCCTTGCTAATTAGCGGAGACCGCATTGCAGGAATTTACGATGCTGCTCGTCCGGACAATCTACCCTCGGATATAGAAATCGTCGATTGTACGGATAAGATCATTTCTCCTGGCTTCGTCGATACGCACCGACATGGCTGGCAAACGGCTATGAAGACCTTGTCCCCCAACACCACTCTACCAGATTATCTAGGCCGATATGCCGGGGATATGCCCGCACTTGTCTACTCAGCTGAAGATGTGTACATCGGACAACTCGCAGGGTTGCTCGAGGCTCTCAACGCAGGTGTAACAACCACGCTTGATCATGCTCACAGTATTTGGTGCAAAGAGCGAACAAATGCTGGGTTTCAAGCATCCGTCGACAGTGGCGCTAGGGTGTACTGGTGCCATGCATTCTCTCATCGCGATGCTTACTCGCTTGCAGACCAAATCGCCAATTTCAAAGAGTTAGCTAAGTCTAATTCGGCGTCTAGTCTAACCACTGTAGGCGCCGCATACGATCTTTGGGTGACATCTTCGCCGGAGGATGTTGAAGCTGTGATTTCTGTCATCAAGTATGCGAGGATAGAACAGGTGCCTGATAAGACGTTGCTATATCACTAACGAAGCATAGGGAGTTAAAAATTCCGGTGTTGACAACCCACCATTTAGGGGGTCCGTGGTCGAGTATGTGTCCTAATTGCAGGAAAAATATGCGGCTTGGGTAGACAAATTTCCACAGGGACTTGCTAATGATTATGGAATTCAGTTGACAACTCACCGGAACTTCTTCACCGTCTCGGAATTTTAGACACTGAGACGGCAGTCGTCTTCTCCCATTCTATGGCCATCACGCCGGCAGGGGCCAATCTTCTTCGATCGACAAACCAATTCATCTCAATCACGCCCGAGTCGGAGATGCACTATGGCCATTCTCACCCAAATGCGCATCTGATACAGGAGCAAGGCTCGCTTGGCGTGGACACGTTCTTCACCTTCTCATCAGATCTAATAACCCAGGCGCGAATTTGGCTCCAGCGCACTCGCTCTAGGGTCTACGACCAAGTCCTCGTAGATTGGAAGGTCCCTAAAAATAACCCAATGTCCGTCAACCAAGCCTTTCTGATGGCCACCCGACAGGGCGGACTCGCCCTTAGACGCCCCGACTTGGGCGTAATTCGTGTTGGTGCAAAGGCGGATTTGGTCGTCTTCAATGGCCGGTCGCCTGGAATGTTAGGATGGCTCGATCCTGTTGCGGCAGTGATTTTGCATGCAAACGTTGGAGATATCGACCACGTAATAGTGGACGGCAAATTTCAGAAACGAGACGGAAAGTTGACCTACGACAACTATGCCGCAGTCGTTGACCGCTTCCTCGCAAGTGTAGAAAGGTTACAGAAAGCCGCCGTCGAAAGGCCTGCGCCTGTTCTTGAAGGACGTTTTTGGGGTGGTTGCGAATAGTAAGTGCCATCCAGAAATATTGAACTTGAGAAAATGCTCGAATTTCCGAACTTTTGGAGAGCAGTTGCTAATATTTATCCTCGCAGTGGCCATGCTACGGAAGTAAATATTTCCCGCGGGTCCGGCACAGGTTACGGAGAGCAGTTCATCGGGAAATAAATGTCTTTATATCAAGAATATGGCGTGTGTTAAGTGCTTAAGGAACTTAAATCCGGAGTTGCCTAATTCAAGGCATGTATACCTAAGTACTTGTAGTTATTGGATCGCGCGACTTATTATAGTGTTGGGGATACTAGCGATTTTATTTGGTCTAGTTATCGAAGTTAATGTATCCAGAAGACATATGGAAAGCTTGGTAATTTCCATTCGAGCAATAACCTAGATTTGGTATTCTCTCCTCGACTGGCTTATGGCTGATAAGTATACTAGATATAATAATTATATTATCTTGGCTGAGGTGTGTAAATACCTCTACATAATTTAATGCCGACAAGAAGGCCAGGGTAGAGATGACCCAAACGATATTTTTTACCTAATTTGAGTGCCGTCCTCTGTACGTTCTAAGTGTTTTCTTTTTTGGATCTGGAAAAACACCCTAAAGAAAAATGTCATGATTATGACAAAATGCTACATATTTTGATACATGTAGGCCAGAGTTGACGACTCTCCCCTTTGATCAAAATTTGCAGACTTCACTCTGTTCCTGGTTTCCAAGCCCTAAAACCTGGAATAAGTGGGTGTTGATGTAACCGTATCTTCATGGTTCCCCATCTGAGCGCAATGTGCTACAGGGTTGAACCCCTGGGCTGATTCCCATAGGTCGTTTCAATACAAGGTACATGTGATTATTGATTGCCTACGTGATAACTGGCACGTTTTTCAAATGCAGGTACTGCATACTACATGAATCACGTTGTATGGTTGGAACTTAGTTAGATGCAATTCCAAAGAAGTTGCAACAGAAGAGATCAAAGCGTCTTACGATATTTACGGTTAAGGAATCTTACGCGAGTAAGGGGCTTCCTTGCAGCTCTTCAGCGGTCAGAGCTTGTTACGATGCCAAGATGAAGCCCCATGAAAAAGTCGTATCCTTGGTATTGTGTTGTATCTAAAAAGAAGTAGATTAAACCGATGAGGTTTCAATATTGATCTGTTTCCCACGTAAATATTGGAGTTGTAGGTCATCTCTTTCACCACTTGCTGTCTACAGAAAGGTACCGAGTATGGATTAATAGTCGAGCATATCTTCCATATGTTGGAAGCATAAGAACCGCACCAATAGATTGACAAGAACAAAGAATACGATGTAACCATTTAAGCTTTAGAAGTTAACCAAGTAGTATATAAATACGAGCATGCAGTGTTGTTCTAGGTGCTCCAGAAGTTCACGCAAATCCGCGACAAGGGCCAAAACCCATAATCATCGGCCACTAAACTCCTAAGGTCAAGATCCCGTAACTCGTAGATTTACGTAAAACCAGGTAGCGCCTTTTCGAAGATACACAAATCCATACCTACATATAGATGCCCGCAATTTCATCACGAAACACACATACATACGAAAGCTTGTCGAGGCCACGTGCCGCTTACCCAGAATCTCAGGGTCTAGGATGTTTGCAGTAGTTATCACACGCCAATACCGTGTGGATTCGTGTGGATTCGGGTGGACTCGTGTAGTAAAAATGTAGGTACCTATTATTTCAGGAACGCGTGTCGTCTAGTGTTACCGATGTTGTGGTTGTATCCGCTCACTGCGCCACGTTAGACTGGGCTATCGACAGGAGCATGTTTGACGGTGGCTTTGCCTCTGGTTAGGGACGTTTATGTACATATTTACAATGAAATGTAGGCTGGCCAGAATCGGATTTTACCGTGTACATTCATCACCAAGGTAGATTGGAATTTGGTTGACTTATGTCCAAGATAGCCCAATCGGGATCAGGCCTTCTTGGCCTTAGTTGACTGGGATATCGGAGTCTAAGCGTAGAACAGACATCTATCCATCGGTCCTAGACTCTATTTGGCAAGGGGTTTGCCGGGCACTTTAATTACTACCCACTACGTAGCTTACATATGGAAACATTTAGGGTGGCCATCAGCCGATTATTTGAACGATACATAGCAAGAGACAGGCATGACAATTGCGAACTTGAAAAATAGTGTAAAGACACTCCGAGTTCTACAACAAGCCAAGTGTGGATTTCGAGATATAGGAGAGTTTAGTGTGCAACTAACGTTGGAAAAGGGATCCCGGCTGCGAATCAGTCGAGTTCCATTCACTTGGGATCACATAAAACTGCCAATGCCGATATTGTGGGCCGATTAACTACAGAACTACAGATATTATCACAAATCGTCATAATCCTTTACAATATCAAGTTTCTGTTTATTAGTATCTGGATTCACTTCTATTAAGTTCATTGTTATAGCGGTACGCTGTGGGCAACCCGCTGGTTTACCTGATGTATGGCGACGCATTGCTCTATCGTCTTAACTTGCGACAGAGTCATTCCTGACTACTAAGTCGCCATTGATGAGTTACGGCAATCAGAAGACCTGGTTAGGTACGCATTTATCAACATGATTGAGCTTGGACGAGATGACTACGATGTCTTCGCCAACCAAGTCCTATGGTCTCTCTTTGCAATCGCAACAAGTACGTTAAACACCTTCCACTTTACCAGCGCTCGATTCTTACTGCCTTTCCATATATATAGTCATAGTCGGACTGAGGATCATATGTCGTCTGCGTTTCGGGACGTATCAGCGGGCGGGGCTCGGCTTGGACGACTACATCACCGTATTCTGTCTCGTCCTCAGTCTTGTCGTGTGCATTCTTGTCACAATAGCAACGGACTTTGGCCTCGGGAAGCATGCATACGATTTAAGCCACTACGAAAAAACGAATGCCCTTAAATATAATGCTATCATCAATGCGGTCTTAATATGGCAGTTTTCGCTACCGAAGTTTGCTATCATCGCTATTCTAAAACGAATTCTTAATTACGGCATAAAGACGGCGGTTCTATTCTGGGCACTTGGAATCACCTCTCAAGCATGCGTCTTAGCTGTATCGATCTGGTGGTTTAGACAATGCGATCCTGTCGAGTTTGGATGGGATAAAACCATTGCTGGGGGAACTTGCGCAGATATCAGAATTATGTCAAGGCTCGCATATTTCACGTCGGCCTATTCGGCTTTCTTGGATATCTTCTTCGCATTCTATCCAATCCCTTTCGTTATGCGCTTAAACATGCCACTTCGAAGTCGCATCGCTGTCGTCGGAGCTCTAAGCTTAAGCTCCCTAGCATTCGTTGTATCAGTTATCAAAATATCTGCCCTTGGAGAAGCCTTTGCTATATCTACAACGGATCCCACCTGTGAGTAGTTGGTCCGTCTATTTATGATTTCAAATAGCAAATACTAACCAGACGCATTTAGATCCTGTCCCTTACCTTGATATCTTGGGCATGTCGGAAGGGTATATTCTAATAATTTGCTCCTCGCTCCCAACTCTCGGTCCCCTCTTCAGGGCAGCCAGGGGGAAAATATCGAGTCGCGGCGCTAGTACTAATGAGTCTGGAGCGAACGTTGGTTCTAGCCTACATAGCCTACACAAGAGTTTCGGTCGTTCGAAAAATCAAAGACCTACGAATGAGATCAGACGGTCGATTGGAGGGAACTCATCCAGTGCTGATGAAATACCACTGGTAACATTACCTATGCCGCTATCATCCATTGCGATTAAAAAGACCGTAGAAATATCATTAACTACGGAAGAGATTAAACCCGAGTCTTTAACTCGGTCACATGGGGATAGAACATTTCGATAAATAATATAGTAAAAGTACAATCTATGTTCCGTCCTTACCTAATTCATGTAATAGCTCTTCTAAGGCGTCTGACGGAAGTCATAGCTCGTAATAACTTGATCTCTTCTGTATACAAGTATCTCTATACTACTTATATTTCGTCTAATAGCTAGGTTAGGTTAGGTACTTTTCTATATCATATCATAGAAAAACTGTGATATGTTTGTGTTAGATCTAAATCATTAAACCATAGTTATTATAACCAGACCTTCTCGTTCTGTTTTCTAGAACTCGCTGTCGCCGCTGCGATTTTTAATGTTAATCTCGGCTGAAACAAGATTGTATTCTGGTAAATACTAATAATATACCCTCATCTTCTATTATCTCTTGGCTAGTGGACCATTGTTCGAACACCTGCATAGTTTGACGCGATATGGGTATTCGGTTTAGCGTGAGGAGACTGTTGTATGTATCATGAGCTATGCCCTGGCGTTCTAGGCCCCCTACCCTAGGAGGTAGGTACCTATCTAACTAGCCAAAGCAAGAAATGCTCCTCAATTTTACCAAATTTCCTCCCGCTAACCCCATAGCCGCTTGTATGTATGTCATCAGACATGGAAGAAAACCCACCTCGGATGCCAGATAGATCTCACAGATCATAAACCACGTGTCAATAAATATTTTTGTATAGCCAATACGTACTATATGACGACTCCCGTTCCCGAGCGGCATTGGCTTGTAATATTGGCACCGCTGAAAAGACTATATATGAACTTAGGCGAACAATTATCGTGCCACTTAGTGAGGTACCTACCTAAGTAGTTATTAGAATTTGTAAGGCAACACGTGGTTCTTATTCAACTTATTCTTTCCACATGCGAAGCTAGCATTTAGTTATCTATTAGTAAAACCTTGGTGCAATTTCGATCAAGTATTCCCTAAGGCTTAGGACCTAAGCCTTAGGTACACGACAATCCGTGCTAACATCTTAGATGCAAGGAGCAGAGACAACCCAGATGACAGACGCTCATATAGCTAATCTCGGACTTATCGTACTCTCGTATTTCAATTATGTAACTTATAAACTGGTTATACATTCTTAAAATTTAAATATTAAAAGAAGAAATTTAAACAATGCCTCCTTATGAGCCATAATGTCGACTTATAGAAGTAGGTCACGTGTCTATCCCGTGACATGATAATGCCAGCCATCGTCCACCCGAGCTTATCATCGTTTCGACTCCGGCCCATGCTTCAACTCAAGTCTCAATATCCTCGACGATACAATACCCGTGTCACCTGCTGCCGCCTGCTTTTCCGCCTGCTTCCTCTTGAAATCGCTGATGTAGGCATCCCTCAGCTCGGGCAGGTGGTCGTCGATGTGCGTGACGGCCCTCGAGGCCTAGCGACTGCATCTCGCTCAGCCAGACGATGATGCCGAACCCAAACCAGCGTGCGTGCAACTCGTCCCGCAACGTGAGCCCGAAAGTGCGCGTCGTCGCGATACTCCTCCTACGTGCGCAGGCAAGACATATCAAATTCAGGCCGGAGATGATTGTCATAGCATATCGGCCTCTCAGGGGATTGCTACCTTGCTATGTACCTCATGACTCCTGTCAGATAATAATCTGACATCGTTTTGTACAGATTTCCCGTCCGAAGGGTCACTGTGCTTAACTAATACCTGTTCGGTTTATACCATCCAGACTAATGATACCTGCCAGTCAGTTGCGAAAACTTGTAACATCACGGAAGCCCTTCTGTAACTCCCTAGCTGTGACCATAGGTATTATAGTATTAGCTTAGTGCTGAGCATAGAGTGGGTTATAGCGTGCGCCTTTTATAATTTAGGGTTAAATATTAAATATTATCTTTTATAATGTTTTAGATTCAATTTACAACATCTTCAGGAGGATGCAGGAGAGGGGTGAGTGGCAGTACATCGTCAGCTCTCGTTTGATCAAGTAATCTCGTCACTTCATCAAGATGAACAAACTACCATTCGAACTTCACGGTCGCATCGTTCAATTTGTAGGCAGAAGGATAGGCGAGGAATTCCTACCACCTTGGGACCATGGCACTCTTCTCTTTGCGCTTCTAGCTATCGCGGCTGTGCCGCAAAAGTTTCAATAGGACGTCGAGAAGTTCAGCTTTAAGACGTTTCTGCCAGGAACTAACCTAGTAGATTCCATATCTTGCCAAACTTCATCGGGTCGGCTTCTTCTCCGGATTCCATCAGTCCTGCCCTCCGCAAGCTAACGAAGGATTGCGCCGAGGTTTACATCGAGGGCTCCATCCACGCTTCGCTCTTCGACCCGCTCGCCGTCCTGGGTACCGCTCCGCACGAAGCGGCGCTGGCCTGGGAGAAAGTCACACGGCTGGAAGTGAGGGCAAGCATGTGCGGTCCGGACGGGAAGTGGCTTTTCAAGATCGATCTAAATGACAAGACCCCCGGGAACCCTCTCGAAGACCTCGGTTTCGACTGTCTAACCCCGGGCTACGGGACCACCAAGCTGGAGCTGGACGAGGCCGAGGAGTACTACGACTCGTAACCGAGGGTAATGGAACTAGTGCGTTGGGCATGTACGAGCGTGTTGGTTACTTTACCACTATCTATATTGCAAAAGGTAAAGACGCTCGTCAGGGACGTAAAGCACAAAAAAAGGCAGAGGTAAGGAAATGCGCTTAATAGGGTGGCATGGTAGAGTGACCCTTTACCCTTATCTCTCTCCCGGATGGAAAGCAACCCTTTACTTGAAAATGAATTAGGGTCCTTAAAACAGTATTTCGCAGCCCATAATTTCAACAACTCTTCGCGGCACTCGTGGCATGTTGGTTTAGTTAAGAATATAAATAAATTGTTGCTCATCAGATATCTATCAACATCGTCGTGAATATTACTAATCGTTATATTCAGAAGAGGCCACAAGGTTTTTATTTCAGACCATGTCTACAGAAGCAGCGGTTAGCTTATTCCTTGACAGTTTTGCACAAGGCACTAATTTTAAGGATTCCAGGATAGATTCTTTCAGCTAATCCGCTGATACTTCAAAGATTTCTTAGAAGGAATCCGCTATTCTGTAATCTCTGAAACACCTGCTCAGGGTCGTACTTAGCGGAAGCTTCCTGTAATCGCTTCATGTTATCCGCGCCATAGCTACTGAGTACCTTTTGCGAAAACTCGGCATCATTCATGAACTTGAAGTCCAGATATAGTCCTTGCTCCTTAGCGAGCCTTGAGACGTTTTCGGTAAATTCTTCCAGCTCGTGGGATACTGCCGTATCGTCAGACTCCTCAGACCATTCTGCGACCAGCGACCACCCTACATTAGTTTATTAGCCAGTGAGTCTAATAGAAGGCTAGTGATGGGAAGTGAGACTGACATGTCTGAGGAACTTTTTGGAGTCCTAAGGAATTACCACCTTGGTTTTCTCCAATCTGTACAGCTGTTGTAGATGTAGGTTGGATATTATACCATAGATTGCTAATCTTTGTATACCTTCTTGCCGAATCTAACCAAAGATTATGGACCTGTACATAGAAGTCATAGGAGACTTTTGTAGTGGTTGTTGCCGTAAGTCGCCTATTGACAATTATAATTAAGCAAGTTCTATCAGAGGCTAAATAGTGTACCCAACATACCTAGTAGAGGGACCTAAAATCCCGATAGCTTCGACCAAAGACTTAATAGTACCTTTGGTCGTTGGAACTAGAGCTTGCATGAGACTGTTTAAGTTGAGGAAGGTCTCAATAGCCTTTGGCTGTTCTGCCCCCGCATCGGCATAATAAATTCCAATTGCAATGAATGTTGGATTGACACTGGCAAACATGCCTAGCTTCGGATCCGTTTCCATTGCCTCTTGGGCCTCAACAGTAGCATGGAGGACCTCTTCGAATCCCGAGGGATGGTACATGAGGACATTGTATTGGAGTTGTATAGCAGGGTATGTCTGTATATCGAATCTTGTCACAATACCTATCGTTTCGCATTAGCACCTACGTAAAGTACCTTAGGTACCTAGTCAGATAGAGTATGAAGGATTGTAATTTTAATACCAAAGTTGGAACCACCACCCTTCAAAGCCCGGTATAGATCCGTATTCTCATGAGCATTGGCATTGATAACAGTCGAATCGGCTTGCACGACCTGATTATAAGGAACCTAGTTAGAATGCAACATAGTAAGATCATGTAGGTATGCTTTAGGTACGAACCTCGAAGTTTTTCACACTATCAGCCGCCAACCCATGGAGATTGGGAAATGCTGGCATCCCGCCCCCTAGAAGATAACCTGATATTCCAACGTCACTCTGGCGCCCGCCTATTGCCGAGAGTCCTTTTCCCTCCAAAAAAGTATATATATTACCCCATGTATTCCCAGCACCAGCCCGCAAGATCCCATCACTGTCTATTTCTAGAGTAGTAAGATCCCTCAAATCGATCAAGACCCCATTATCTATGCTGCTGAAACCAGGGTTGAAATTGTGACCACCGGAACGGATCGCAAACTTAGCATCAACTTTCTTCACAATTTTGATGACTTCCGCAACGTCTTTGCTGTTCTGGGGTCGGACAAAGCAAGCTGCAGGAAGCCAGCAATTCTGACACCTATATGCATTTAGTTAGCTTAGATATTGGTAAATAAGTCGTATTACTTTACCATGGTTGACATTTCTGAGACTGGTATTGAGTATGGGATGGAACTGTCACGCGTCCGGGGAACGCGGAGTTTAAAAGCCCACAGGCTGTCTTTGCGGCTGTGGCTATGTCTGATCCGGATGCCATTCTGACGAGTTTTATGGCATGCGGCGGAGGTCAATAGTGGAAGGATGGCTTTTAAGAACTTCAAGTGGGATGGTTATTAGACTTAGGGGTAGTTTTCAATACTACTGCTCTAAATCTACAAGAAACTATAAAAATGATAAGGGGCGAGACTGAGCGTAGATTTACTAAGATTAGGGCGAGGATATCATTGGTAAACATGCAAACATTCAAGTACACCGCTAATTGTTCAAACGACTGGACGGGTGGCTTCGATTATACGATAGTAGGTATTCTGCATCATGTAAGAAAATACTAGCTTGGTGTATTTAGTAACAGGGATTGAATCGACCTGCATCTTGCGGCGCTTATTTCGTAGATCGGTCCAATACTATAATAAATACCAGCTATTTTATCTTCAAATGATTTGAAGAGCACACCCTCGAAGGTCTATCCCCGGCACCTAAATAACATATGTCACGGAACTAGTCTCAGTAACTTAGCTCATCGTATTATACACCTATCAGCTAGTTGAGCTATTATTTAAATATGACTCAACAAAGATATCCTCACGTAGAAATACGATCATTCATACAAAGTGCACAAGACAGTTTTAGTAGTGAAACATTTCAAAGCGTAAATTATAATGAGCGTCATATTATGGGACTTAGAGGCAAGCTCTTTTGTCAGATACACATATCAAGTACCTAATGTCATAGTATATTAGTGTTACGTAAGCTCTCTAGGGCTACTGGTCCACATAAGAAGAGATCACCACCACACATATTGAATTTTGCACTCTTTCTTCCTTGTATTATTAGATGAATTTAAGCATATATATAAAGAGTCTCGCAGGCAGTTAGTAGTCGTGATGCAGTAATATATAGCAGTTTATTAAAAGTTGTTATTATCGCATTAACTATCAACTCTCAGAAAAGTGGACCAGTCTTTTGAAATCAGTGACCCCTTGAAGAATGCATTGGGTTAAATGAAAGCAACTTCTCATATAAAGAAATGTCTTTGATTTGGCCGCAATAGTATTAGCTTTAGCCTATTAGTAATGACGAGAACAATGCAAATAATAGTTTTGTAAACGCGATAAAATATTAAGCAATCATCGTTTAAAAGATAACGGCTAATGGAAACCCCTGTATCGAAAACAATACGACTTTCTTCACTAACTATTTACAAATATAAAAAATGTTTCCTTGGGATAGCGCCAGGCAAGACGTCGACGATCTTGTAAAGTACTTTTCATACGACGAAAGATTCGATTTCATAGGTTTCATCGCCCACGGAAGTTATGGCTCTGCGAGTCGTGTCCGGTACCGGAACCCGGCTACAAGAGTCTGGAACGACTTTGTAGTGAAGAGGGCGTTTCAATCAGAGGCTGCGGAAGAGGCTATGAGGAAGGAAAGGGAATACCTCAGGGTATGAGAAATTGGAAGATATTATAAGTGCGCAGAGGAAAATAAGTATCAATAAGCTAACCTTTATGGAACACACAGAGACTTCGCGGTGCTTTACATATCGTCCAGATCCTGGAGGTTGATAACAATCCTCTAGAAGTAAACCCCGTCGAGGGAGAGTGGATTACGATGGAATGGCTGCCCTGTGGCTCAATGGGGGATTTCATCGTTAAGGCGAGGAAGAAAGTAGATCGGTTGCCGAATCGGTTGCTTTGGAGGTTTTTCTTATGCCGTAAGTCATTAGGGTTATGGTTGCTTATCTAGTGATCCTATCACTTGAGTACCTAGTTTCCTACACTATACACAATGTCTAGTGGGTTAAACGCATTTGTTGAGCTAATAAATAGGCATATAGTCATAAGAGCTTGTATAGCCATGGCGGTAGGTAGTATTTTAATACATGTTGCATTCGTATCTATAATTAGGACTAATCTCGTATTGTTCATAGGACCCCCCAAACCGTAGTGATGGTAGGGTAGAGAGAGAAAGAGTATTTGGCCAACTTCCAGAAGACGGTATATCGCACAGTGACCTCCATAACGGTAATGGTAGGCGAGTTACCTAAAAATTCACGAGTATTCGGTATAATAGATATTGAGCTAACATTAGTAAGTTGTTCTTGGAGAGCCCCCTGAGGATTTCGAGCATACGATCACGCCAATTTTGAAGGTCATTGACTTCGGTAATGCTGGAGAGTGGGCCTGGATCGAGTTTACGGGCACAACTACACATAGCAATCTCTGGGACGTAGGCAAGGTGTGTACTCTACTTAGGATACTAATTCAGCATACATATCATAAGCTGACGAATGTGGCAGCTCATGGTTAGTTTGATTACTTTAGATGAACGCCCTCACGTTGTAAACGTGGGTTCGAGCGCAATTGCACTACCCGAGCGCGGGATAATATTGATAACAGATGCCGAAAAAATCCTCCCGCTCGATGAGCCCGGCGCACCGTACCCTCTGCTCGACCCGCTGTTAGGGAGACTCGTCTGTTGGTGTCTGGCGACCGAGCCCACAGACCGTCCTAGCCTATGGGACATAGGTAACCAAGTAGGATTTGCTGTAGCCAGTAAGCTGGCGACGGCTTACCCTAATCGACCAGAAGAAGAAAATGATTATATATCTCAGCTCTGGCGGAGAATAGTCTTTGAAGCAGATACTTAGGATTCAAGAAACAGGTTGATTTCCAACATTGTATGTTATTTATTAACCGCATGTCATATTAAATAGTGTACGATTAGGGCGGTGGAGAGTTACATCGTCTTGAACAATTTTATATTCATATGATATCCGTCACAGGGCGGTAAGGGGTTTTGGTTTTCTATTTATTTAGTTCGACTAGAATATTGCTGGGCAATCACTTCCATGTCATAAACAATATTACATAGGTAGCCAGCTAGGTACTGATTACGCCATCTGTATATTGGCACACTACGGTTTTAAGCTTCGCGTATCTTATTATCGCCATTGAAAAATAATGCTCGCTTGTGACTAAAAATTAGTTCCATTGCCCGTAGTATGGCATCCGTTTTCATATAACAAAAGCAAAACTCAGGCATTCCAAGCGCTACCCTAGGTAAGTTAGGTATATGCCTAATTGGGCAACTCATGTCGACACTGATTGGTTTCCCGCGAGCGTTTAGCCGAAGTGTTCCACTCTATCGGTTTCTGCCATACCCACATTACCTGGAGACCGGGTTATTAGCACCTAAACCACTACGCCTAAGTACCTAACGCATCGCTCATACCTCTTTTCTTGATAACGTTACTCATTTTAGTTGGAAAGCCTTTCACGATCTCCGTAGTTCCGTCAAATAATTTTCTAATTTTTATAATATGTGTATATCACCTACGCAATCTTGGCAAATTTGTTACCAGGTACCTAGGCATTATATATAATGGCTACAAAAGTTTAAGCCAAAAAGTCTTCCACATGTTTATATCTCCAGCACCGTGTTTTATGCATATTCTGACTTGCTGATACTGTATGTATCATTCCGTCCAGGCAACCTTAATATTGAATCTTCCAATATAACTTCCACTAACTGTCCCAGTTCTTAGTCATCCATAGCACTGTCGATGCCAATGTCAAAGTAAAGCCAGTACAAGAAGAAAAATCCAAGACTGTGGAGTTTTGGCTTCAATCGCTAGCTGATATTCCCCCGGAGCAAAAGGATTCTCTTATCCAGAAACTTAAAAGTCTCGGGATAGAGGGTGAAGTTAGCGATGAGGAGAGTCTACGTGTCATCGAAGAGATAGAAAAGAATCTCACCCCAGAGGAATCCCAAATTTTAAATATCCTGCGTGGCCAGCGAATGTTAAGGAATGAAGACTCGATTAGTCTTGTCATCTTCACCCTTAACTCAATTGATGGACTAGATCCCAACATGGAACGTGGGAAACTTGGTCTTGTCAAGGCCGCACCAGTTAAGCGAAGCCAAGCGCAGTCATAAAACCCGCCTCGTTCTTAAGAGTCGACCGGCCTGATCTTCGGATCCAGAGGGATGATAGAGCTTCGAAGGCATTGGACAAAGATAATACTGTTGGAAAGTAGGGGTTATATTATGGAACGTTGCTCCTATCATGTCCACCTGAGATTAGTCTAAGGATTGTAATTAGGACACTATAAGGATGAGATACATCCTGCACATTTACTTATTCTATTGGTTGTCTAAGTGAAAAGGGAAGGCCTAGTTGTACAAAATCCTACGCTAAGAACATATGCACTGCACCTTGAAATAATTCCGTCCCCTGTCAACCAAAAACTTTACCAATGCAGCTGCTGATTAGCTAAGACGGTATTTAATTAGTCCTATATAAACTCAGTAGTGCATGACGAGCAAGGGTTTCTTATTATCGAAAGTGGTTGGTTTTGTGTCTTAGATCTGACATGCGTGTAGGTACCTAACACATAGCTTACCCCTATTCCCTTAGGTACCTGGGTAGGTACTTTTTGTATTGTGATGACTTGCAGTCTCAAGATTAGGTACCTATCCTGCTACCACCTTGTTGCAGCAATAATTCCTGTCTACGATAGAGCAGTGTCAAAATTAAGTTGAGTCGCATACTCGACATGAGCGATGTTCAAGATGATTACAAGATTAGACAATATTCACGGTTATATGCATTTATGTTAGTGCTTATGTAATCCCCCGCCGTACGTCCAACCTTCAGGCCAATATCCCCGCTCTTGGTGGTTCGGGGGATACATAAAGGAAGTACCTTCTCCCTGATTAAGCTTACCGATATTATTTCTTTCCAACCTCGTGTTTTCTTCTGCTTACTATACAATTTCAAACAACTTCAGACATTTCCCTCCATTGCTCAAACCTAATATATATAATTTTCAATTTTCGGAGAAAAAAAAAACATGGCTTCGACAGATCGCCCCACTACCGCCGTTGTGGAGCGGGCCTCGGTATCCGACATCCCGGAGCTGATCACCATCTGGTGGGGCGCGTTCGGCTCCGAACACATGCAGCGCATCTTCCCGCAGACGCCCGATGGCAGGCTATGGCTCGAGCGCGCTTTCAAGCAGTTCCTTGGGCCCGCCCCGGGACCTGATGAGCTGAAGACCGAGTGTCTGATCGTCCGCAGTCCGGATACCGGTACGTACTCGGCGCGGTTCTTTGCTCAGATGTTCTCTACTAAAGCGTTTTTGTTCAAGGTATCCCTGTTGCGATAGCTATATATCGCATCGTACCAGAGGGTTGCGACGCAGCGAAGCAGTCATGGCGCGAAAGGTGGCCCGCCGTTGATGATTTACCGGATTTCAGCGATGCCGCCGTGGACAGCTTTTTTAGTCTTATGGAAAAGGCGCATACTCACGTTCTAGGCAACCGTGGTCATGTCTGTAAGTGCCTTACGTACTTTTAAATGTCTTCCAAGTTCCACCTCGACCTTATATGATCCAAATTGAGGCGATTGGGCTAACTATGATATAAATTGTAGTCTTGGAAGTGCTTGGTACGATAGAGGCATTCCAGAAAAGGGGTTATGGCACCGCGCTGGTCAAGTGGGGAACCGATTTAGCCGATCAGTTAGGAGTCGAGTGCTACTTAGATGCCAGTCCTGCCGGAAAGCCACTCTACGAAGCAAACGGTTACGTGGAGCAAGATGTGTCTGCTATCGTAGAGAAGCAGTCGGCGGCGTCAATGTTGCGTCCGAAGAAACTTTAAGGCTGATAGATCAGGTACCTAGCCTATGAAAGTACTTAATACGACTCTCGACTGGCACATTTTATACTGTAATTAGTTTGTATTAGAGAAAATATCATCAAAATAACCCCGACAAGATAAGAATAGTTGCAACGCCTATATCCCAACCCATAGTAGAAATAGAAAAACGGAGTGAGCTAAATATCATTGAACTGGTGCTGGGGTATCAGGTGACTTTGACCCTGATCATGTGATCATATTCTTAGTATAAGTACCATTTATGGTCGCACACACCCATTTTACATAGTATCATCCACTTTCAATACAAGTCATTCCTTTTCATCATCTTCTTCATCATCTTCATCATCTTCTTCATCATCTTCTTCATCATCGATACTCAACCCAGCTTTTTCGGCAATTAGATCCCGGCATGCGATGTGTCCATATCTCTCAGCAAGCTTCATCGCTCTACGACAATACTTCTCCTCGAAGCCAGTCTCGCAGCCATCAGGCAGAAATGTATTTTCCTTAGCTATCCAGAGGTATTCAATCATGTGAAAGCGACCGTTTTCCGCAGCCCCCTCAATGGGCCATCGCCCATTGGCCTTTGATAGTGGTGGTGTATGCAGAAGCGCACCGTGACTTAGAAGTTCAGCCGCTACATTGCAATTTCCACTGATTGCAGCAAATTGAAGAGCCGTTCCGCCGCTGCGTGTTGTCGGGGGAGCATTCACATCAACCTCGTGCTCAAGAAGAAACTTGACAATAGCCAAGTCGCCAACCTCTGCAGCTTTCTGCAACGGCGTTCGCCGTACAGTAAGAAGGTGCGCAGTGCCGTGAACATTGGCCTTCCAACGTACTAGTAGTCGGACAAGTCTCTCATTTCTCTTGCTGATAGCCTGTAACAATGCGGTTTCAGAAACATCTGCTCCATTAATGGCTATTGTAGTACCTATAGTGTTCGGATTACAGCCGGCCTCTAGAAGTTTCTTCACGATGAAAAATCTGCCGTCAGGATGCTTATCTGTAATATCAATAGCCATACATAGCGGTGATCCACTGCAGTTGTAATCAACTTCAAAGTCAAATATGTTCGATGCGAAGAGAATATCTAGACATTCAAAATTGAAACGAATGTTGTTCTGATCATCGTGAATCGCAGAATATAATGGGAAAGGTATTGAACCAGGTGTAACATTGTTTTGCACTTGAAGTAAGAGCTGCCGGAGTATAGCAGTTTGGCCCATCACGGTTGCAGACCCCAGGAAGGGTATGAGTGACTTGATTGCTCCATGAGATAGCATGAATTGTGCTAATCCAATATTGCCGGTTCTAATCGCGTAATCGAAAGATCTATTTATGCCGTCATTTACTCTGTTCAGTGAAGATAGAAGAATCTTTAACAGATCGTACTGCCCGGCCTCATGCAAATCGGAAAGAAGACTCGGCAGTGGTCCATGAGTGTCTAGCGCATAAGGGCTTCTAGAAAATATATCCGCCATAGATTGTATGACCTCATTAAATATAGATATTGCATCTGATTTGTAAATTATCCGAAAGGTATCACCATCGATTCCCTCGGGTCCGATGTCTGCATTTAATATAGTACGCGCAAGTTGAAAATTCCTTCGCTTGATAGCTGCATTCAATGGCAGACCATTGTACTTTTTCCCATTCATTTCTATCTCGCTTCCGTGGTTGACACTAGCTCCCGCGTCTAGGAGGATGAAGGCGATATCATCAAACCCGTTTTCTATTGCTATGAAAAGTGCGGCTGATAAATCTTTCGGGCGTACAGGGTCGAACTGGTCCAGAAGTCTTTTTATATAGCCAATGTTTCGAATTTCCACAGCTGCGGCCATGACGTCTCCAAGAATAGTGCGAGATAGTGCACCTGCTCTTTCAAGGCGATTAACTAGTGCTGTATCGTTTGATAAGAGAGCCTCAGCTAAAGGAGCCAGAAGATAATCGTAGCTTCCGTCGTAAAACTCGTCGTCGCTTTCATCGGAATCATATTCCTGGGAATAATCATCTTTTATATTTCTCATAAGGAGGGCTACCAGATTACCCCAATGGGATCTAATCGAGACGCTCAAGGCTTCGAGCAGGTATTTATGGCGGCAGAACGGGAGTAGAAATTTAGCAAGCTTGTAGTGACCATCTTCAGCACATATAAGCAAAGCAGCTTTTAGCCCTATAGGATCGCGGTAAAAGCAGCCACACCCCGTTTTCTTGCAGTTGTCATGGATGAGGCGTACAGCATCTACTGCCTCGCCGCCTTCCATTTCGCTTGGTATGCTGTGCAAAATCCCATATTCAATCATCATTGAGTGCTCAGGAGGTGTGAATGAAGTGAGCGACAATCGAATTGCCTCTTTGGTCCAAAATTTGCCGTCCCTAAATACTTCACTAGTTGCATTAGGCCAACGGTTTCGTATCAATAGGCAAAATTGGACACATTCTTCGTCAACAAAATTTATATATCTAGTGTAGATATCTATCAGATTATTTTGGTTTGCTTGAGTAAGGTCTTCTTCTGTATCCAGTAGGATTTCCATAGCGGTCAAATTGCGCAGCTCCGCCACACGCTCAATTGCTCTACGTTGAGATCCTCGTTTGGTAGATATAGTCTGATTCGCGCTAACTAAGCCTGTGCGTAGGAGTATACGGAGAACACTATTTTCGCCCTCCTCTATTGCGGCTTCGAAAAGGAATTCCGCAAGCGCTCTTGTAGCGTGGTCGTATTTGGCCTCCGAAAATGGGGTCGGCATTGTATTGGTTTTCCCGGAATGTGCGAATAGCTTCAGTATCGATCCTATGGGAATATCTTTTAGATCAATTAGCCTATTCATCATCGTAAAGACAAGCCCTGAGAGCAAACTCTCATCGTTAAGAGTTTCACTGGCGCTTGTCACGAACATCTCATTTCCCCGTTGCTTTGGAAGCAAACCCTCCGGTACCAATGCTTGGAGATTTTGATAATAGCAACTGGAATGGGAGAATTCCTGGGTTGTTGACCCGGAAACGTCCATATACGCTTGCATATCCCTCAATGGCCTTATGACTTCGTTCTGGATCGTAGGGAAGTGTCTTTTCCATGATGCGAGCTGCTTGCTAATTGTGCCGAGAGACAGACGCTTGAGCCATTTGTAAGGGTCACCCAAAGAGTATCCTAATTGAAATATCTCTAAGTTGATACCAGAGTTCTCCCACATAAAAGAGGGTTGTGCCGTCGAGTTTCCTGGGGAGGGCCAATTTATAGGACTGGGATTATTCATTAAGAATCCAACGAAATCACCATGTCCACTGTCGTCAATGTTGGTTGGCATTATAGGAGCCCCGGTAGGCGCACGCAAAGGCATGTTGTCAGTTAGGCAGTCATGTAATCTGATCATCTGGTTCTCCACAACATCGTAAGTTTCATCCATTGTTACATCCATTGGTACAAGGTCCTGAGGGACGTGAAGGTTATCGAAGCTTGAATGAGACGAGGGCAGTATTGGATCGACACCATCACCTCCCAGGAATTGAGACCAAGTGCCGTCTTGGTTTTGGATTTCAATAGAGAAGTTATGGGCCTCATTATTGAAGAGATCGTCCATTTGAGAATTGTCTTCGATTCTCGTGGATTTACTTTTACAATTCCGCCTAGCGCGACGGATTGTTTTTTCATCAACGATCCTGCCCGATAGAATGATTCGGCTTATGGTACCGGGATGCAAACTATCCAACGTGCTGAAAATGCGACGCCATTCTGAGACCTTCAGATTTCTTCGAACCTTCCACTTTCTAAATCGTGCCTCGTACTGCGAAATCCTTTTTGTTGATATATTAGCAGACGATGGTAGAATATAGGATAGGCTTGCTCACGTCGCTTCGAATCCATGTTCAGTCTTCATGATATCAACGATGTCCCTCAAAAAGCGACCATCGTCTAAGTAGAGCTTCAAAACATCATCCTTATGAAGGTTCCATGTGGTATCCGGAATCTTCACTATTCGTGTTGTTGAAGACATTGGAAGAATTATTTGAACACATAGAAACGAATACAGAATTCGTGAATAAACCACGAGTTTTTTTTTCGAGGAAAGTTGGGTATAAATAGATGAAGAAGTAATAAACCAGAGAGTTCTCAAGGCTGCCCAGATTATGTCGCGCAAAGCGTAGCATCAGACCTCCTTCAAGCTTTGCCGATCAGCTACTTCTAGCCTGCCTGACTTTTGTAAGGGCAGTTGACGTGTAATATGCAGTGTAGGCAAATGACAGAACCTGCATAAGTGTGACTGCTCACCGAAATTCGATTGCCAGAGCCTGGGCATCGGATTAGGCGATTCCTGCGTATGTAGGCAATACACTGCAACGCCACAGCCACGTTGATAGGTACCTAAGGTATCTATGTACTTTTACGTGGAAGAAATGGGCAAGAGTACAAAACGAAGCCTAGCCCATAAGTCATGATCATTTCATTGGGGAACGAATGAGAGTACACAAAGCCGAGGGCGCTTATACCCAATACTACCCACACTATAACAGCCCTAAATATAGAAAATGTAGCATTTTTGTTTATCTCATACGTTACCCAGTAGAGAAGGGTAATACAGCAGCCACTTTGGCTAGGTTATGTCACAAACTAAGACTGCTATTACAATGTTAGTAAGGATGTCATAACCTGGGCCTGTAAAGTATCGGCTCAGGATATGGCATTATACATCATACACACGACGAATAGATCAATCGGCGGCTCAGGTTAAGGCAATGCCGCAACGTACATACAGAACCTCTATTACCCAGAGCCTAGTGAGTATTTGCGGTAAACTAAACGATTGAGTGTGAAGTAGTTGGCTCAAAGGGCAACTGGTAGCGCAATATAAATATATAATACATGTCAAGTTCCAGAGTTCAATTCACTTTTTCTTCACAGTTCTTGCAAACCTCAGCATAAAGTCGAATGCGAAACCGAGTCAAGAATCTCAAATCTCAAATCACTGAAATACACGCGCCAGACCTCTCAAGTTAAAATCACCTAATTATGTCTTCGTCTTCAAATCACCTAAGCGACCAACCAGGAGGAACCGCAATGTACGTGCTATATTGTCAAACAATCTTACAGATATATATATCTAACTTATCACTAGCCAGGAGGATAGTCAAGTATCTTATATGGTAACGACATATCTCAACGCGGAGCCAAATATCCACGAGCGAGTGTCCGGTGTGGTTCAATTTAAGAAAGGGGAAGATAACAGGAAGGAGTATTATGAAGGGAAGGCTAAGAAAGCTTTGGACAGTTTCGACAAGGCTTGGAGCAACGCAAAATAATCAATGTGTTCGGGGATGGGGTATGGTTCCTACCCGAGCACATTCTTCAGACCTCGGTAACTTGAAAGAGGTAGAGTAGAATCTCTAGAGCTGTAAGGACACCAAGATATAGAATAATGAATGATTGAAGTTATTACATAATTAACTTGGAGGTCTTGTAAAAGAATTCAGCATACCAGACTTAAGATTCCACTTTAAATCCACATAGCTTGTCCCACACTCTCCCCGAGCGTACCATTTATCTTCATATCCTAGGGGCGAAATCAGTTATGTAAGGTTAATAGCTCCTAAGTAACTAATTCATATACGTTTCACTGTTGAAGCATATCTACTATCCCATCCATAAGTACATCGGATATCCCTACCTAGATAGGCTCTGTTACAGGCCCATCTCCTACGAATCTTATAACCCCTGAAAGCCATGTCTCATTATCCTCCAATATATCGGGGTCTCCACCCCAACGTAGCACACTAGCAAGCCAACGGTAGTCTCCCGGGCCGGGTGAGTATTCGGTTCCGTTAGGAAGAGTAGCCTTAAGCCCGGTTCCTTGGGGCCAGTTAAAAGTAGACGGAGACAGCAATTCGGTAGAATTTACTAGAGTGCCGTAGGATGGCAGCCCGAACACTGATATCGGCGGTATCGTATTCGAGGAACGGTACTCATACGGTTCGGCCGGATCATAGCCATAGAAGTCAGGTTCTATACTAATATTAGCAGGTACGAGATCAATCCGATATCCACGAGTGAACTGGTCGCGGCCGATAAGCGAGCGATACAGCATAGAAGAATTAACTTCCAGTAAGCCCTTGTTAATAAACCAGTCGTCCTGAAACTTGTACGAGATTTGCGGCTGCACTGACGTGCTCGTGTTTAGGACATGAATGTACTGGGCATTGTATAAGGAGTAAGGAGGGCCAGAATATGGCACACTGAACTCTTCGTTGTCACTGGTCACCTTTATGAAGCCACCAAATACTGGTAGTCGTTCGGGATTGAGACCCGAGGTGGGAGGTAAGATTTTAAAAGATACAAGTGTAGATTCTTCTGCTGGGACTTCGATGGTTGATGACTCAAACTCGGCAGACCCATATATCGGGAGCTGATTCTCCTGAGAAAAGATGGGGTTATTAGGGGGGTTTGGTTCCGAATAGCTGGCACCTTCGTGGGATAACTCATATTTCTTCGTGGAATTTGAATAGTTCTTAATTGTTATATTGACTGCTCCGAACGTAGTGCGCGTGTTATCAGTTACAAGGAGTTGGCCTGGAGACACGCGACTCTGATATGTGATAGCGTTATATGCATTGACCAAGCCGGCCCCCTGTTGAAAGGTCCCCGCAGTCATAGTATCGTTATATACCCATTTCGTGGGCCTTGAAGTTGACTGTAGAAGTGAAATTATTTCGGTGACAGATAAGTCAGGGAACTGGGATTTTACTAATGCGTAACAACCGCTAATAAATGGGGCTGCCATTGACGTGCCTGATAGAAGGGAGTAGTATCCTTGCTCTCCGAGAGGCCAAGTAGAAAGTATTTCGCCACCAGGTGCCGATATTTGAGGCTTCAAGTCGTAGTCCAGGTAGATAGGGCCAAAGGCCGAGTAGTAGTCCATTTTACCACCCACAACCTGTGCAGGGCTCGAATAGGAGGTGTCATTAAAGTACAGCCTATATTTCTCGGGCCCGGTGGTGTTCATATTCGCCAGAAGTGTAGTGCTATCCTCTAAACTCACTGATATGTACTGAACCGAACCATCGCCTATGGAGCCCGAGGAAGGTATCTCGTAGGCTACATTGTACGGGTCTGACATATTCGTATAGAGTCCCATTATGTAAGGAATACTGCGCTTCGAGCAGCAGCCCCTAGCACCAGTATCACGACAGTCGCTAGTGATAGGAAATGCAACTATAGTATTGTTGAGTTTTCCATTATCCTCCAGAAGCGATACAGCATCATCCCACTTGCTGGTACCGGCACAGCCATCGTCAAGCAAGTAGACCTCTAAGCCGTCAGGGAATTCGATGGGCCATAGAGACGCATATGAAAGCGTAGCGCCTTGGGAATCTGTAAAGGTATAGACGAGTGGGAAGTTTTTATTTGCAATTGAGCCGACAGATATAATACTTGGTAGCTCAGCGGGCGTCGACGTGCGATAAAGTTGAGGGTCGTATTTGCTGCCGGATCCAGCATTCCCCTGAGAAACAATAACTGCTATACCTGCATCCACAAGGCGCGCGGCGACTTTTGTTAATGGATCAGTCCCATCTTGCCATGACTCCTGGATACCTAGCGACATGCTTATGATATCAACGCCGTCTGCTTGCGCCCGCAGCATTGCTGCCATAATACGATCGGTCGACCCACCGTTAGTCAAACAGTCAAATACTCTATACATATAAATTGTTGCCTCCGGAGCAACACCGGATATGTTCAATGTTTTGTCTCCATCTAGAAGAGGTTCCATACCAACAATTCCTATTCAGTGCGTTAGTTCAGCTAATCAAGGGGGGGGGGCGCAGCTCTAGATCATCCCCTTACCCGTAACATGAGTGCCATGCCCTCCTCCGTAGCACGTAATAAGCGGATCGTCGTGCTCAAACGCAGTTCCGTTATCGGCTAACCAAGACCAACCCCCAGCGACCTTGAAGCCGGGACCGAAACCACCTCCCAGTGCCGGATGACGATAGTCAACGCCAGTATCAACGATACCTATCTTTACACCCTTACCCTTCACTCCAAGCTGGTGAAGCTTATCTATACCAGCCATTTCAAGGGTCGAAGATAAATCCCCATCAGATTTTGGCAATATTACCGGCATTGCTGGAGGGTTCGTATATGATCGGAGGGGGTTATCAATTGAGCGAATACCTGGAAAGTCCGGATCCGACAGAGACACCTCGTAGACCGGATTCACCGACACAACTCCAGGGACGTCCCTAAGCTGGAACTCGGGAGATCTAAGATCATTATTCCCTGAAACCCGAATTGACAAGCCAAAATAGATACCCGGGTAACGATATTCATGTGCGACAGAGTATTCAAAAGGAAGCCTTGATGCGTGTTTATGGAATTCAGCATGCTGGTCGAAATCCCTCGGGTAAATCCCATCTCCTTCAACATCATCCACCAACTCAATGATAAATGCCCCATCAATGAGTTTGGGGGTTTTAGTAGCAACCCCCAGCGCAAATAAAGAGAGAAAGAAAGCTCTAAGCATCAGTAGACCCATGGTTGCGCCTCCAGGTTTGGAGTAATCATACTGCAAATTCAAGAGCAACGGCGCAGGTCGACAGGTTTATAGTCATGACACCACTTTAGCCTATACCGTACATTATATCCAACGGCAAATCCTCCTATCTACCAATCTCATAGTCCGATGGGACATTCCGAATGCAACTTGAGATGTACCAGCTGCAGCGAAATTAGTTAAACTGGAACTCAATGACGACATATTAAAAGAATGACAGTAGAAATTGGCCATGATATTTAATAAGGCATTATTAAGTCGATCTTCAAATACCATCACAACTTCTGAATACAGAGATAGTAGCTTATGGACACTCTTTGTTAAAAGCTCACCTTATTGGTCAATATTTTATAAGTGCGTTCTACGCTGACGTACCCTTTGCTACCCATAATGTAGAGTGGGATTATCATTCTTCCTGTATACAATTTTTAATTCAGGCCCTAATAAGAGATATCAGGTTGAATAGTAGGAAACCCCCTTAGAGGAGTTACTAGCTTGTGAGAGTATACATACCTCGTATTAAGATAATTGGTAATTACTTGTTTTGACCCTCAACTTTATCCCACCGACCTCATTTACAAAATAATTCGAAGAGATCCTATGAGTTTATCGGCTTTTCTAGTAGCATCGGGTGTCTGAATATTAATGGTCAAGGTTACGTGAAAGAACTAGAATAGCTTTTAATGGCCACCACGGTTATTGAACGGCTTAAACAGTGGTACACTGGTAGTAAAAGTCATTTATATAGGACTCCAAGAGAGAGAACTGGGCATGAACTTTGATTTGTATATTTAGACCAAATTACCACGATTTGGGCTAACGAGAAGCCACCGGAATGCTTTAATATAGGATAAGTAGTAACACATTCATTCATACGGTCTAGCCTGCCTACTAGGCAGGCTATTTGAATGCTTTGTTTATTTACTAATTATTTTATTAGCTTATATCAATTTCCTATCGTATCATTCTAATCTAAAATAACAAAGATTAAGATTATACAGAAACAATAGAGCAATAATACCCTAGTCTTATATGCCTAGAGTACGTTTCTAAACTATTGTGCCGTTTTTTGGTGATAATAAACTAACAACGGCGGCGCATTTCGCAATCCGCTTGAAGCCGGTTGTTCTGGGACACAAGTGTCGAAATGAACATTCTCTTATTGTAGGCACTGGGCCATAGTCTATAAGAATGCCCTTCCATCCTCCAAGCAATTCGATTTTTTTCCCTCATCATCCTGTCTACACTCAAAAGATCAAGTGATAACAGAGAACTTCCTACAATTTTATCAGTATCTATACACAATTGGCTCGATTCGATTCACCAGAAGCTTATCAGAGCAACGAAAATGGATCCCAACAACATTAGATTCACAGGTCCTACGACCCCCAATTTGATGACTACTCAGGAAGAAGTCGATATGGATGCCCCGGCGTTATCGTACGAAGGATTCACACATGGATCTGTATCAGCCAGGCAATTCTCAGTTAATATCCACAACATAAACAACGTAAACTTTAATTACGGAGGTCATTCCCCTGACATTTTTCAGGAGAATGCCCCTGAAAATTTGCCATACAATGATCCATTCGCACAAAGACACACGTTTGATACCAATCTCCCTCGACCTGAAGAGAGAGACTCTAATGGATTCATAAGAGATCCTCAAACTGGTGAGTGGATAAGACGTGGTCTGGAAGGCCAACAACGTCACGACGACCATTCTCATAACCCCGAGGGAGGTAAAATTCCGCAGGAGCACATGTTTCCTGACACCTTTCGACATCATCCACGGCCATATCCATCACCACAGCCACATGTCAACCCTGACCACTCTCGCAACCCTGAAGGTGGTAGAATCCCACAGGAATTCATGTTTCCCGACGTCTTTCGACATCACCCACCACCATTCCCGCTACCACGTCCACGACCAAGGCCATCTGTCGACCCTGTCCATACGCCGACAGAAGTGCCCGATGAAATTCGAGACGATGAAATTCCAGCCTGGGCTGCGGCTTCCCGCAACACCATATTTTCACGGAACCCTCACACCCTTCCCCCACAGCCTGTGAATCCGGCTGGGCCTCCAAAGGAGACCCCTCAACCGGCATATCGAGGGCTGTTCAAGGCGATCCCTGGTCCGGGACGGGATACTGGTCACCGAACCGGCGATAGCCCCAACCGTACTTCTTAAACGTACAGCTACCGCCCACAGCCATTAATCAGTAAGCGAGGAAGAATCTACTACTAGCGACAATAGGCTGATGATGCCGTCGCTACCGTAGGAAGCCTGATCTTACCTATTGATATTGATTTCTTATTTCTTGTGCGCATGTTATCTTGTTTGTATTGTTTGCAGATATGATTTAATAGCTACCTAAATAGTCACTGAGAAAACAAAAAAAAGGGGGGGAATAAAAACATTCCCTTAAAAACCTGTCTTATATTTCCTCGCATCTGGTGAAGTTATATGTTTACCTAGAGCTTGCTATCATACCTACCTACCTACCTATCTAACCAATGTACTTAACGTCTCAGCTCATTGTTTAGCTACCATAACCATCCTTTCTACTGACAATTTAATAACAGCTTGCATATAAATATACTACGGTCGCCGGAGTTAGCGATGACTGTCAGGGGTTATCGGGATGCGAGTCCCTCTTTAGGCTCGTAGGATCAGGACACGGACGAATAAGTTCCCCGCACATAGGAGACTAGACATGATATGAATAATTCCCATTGGCCAATATAATCCTAATTCCACTTGGACTATTTTATCTCCAGTAATCACCATTTATCCTGCAAGTACAATCCATTGGCATTCCTGAGCTATCTCGGAATAGTAAGTCTATGTGATGCTTACACGAAGTTATGGATGACAGCTGAACTGTAACGGTAATGTATATAAACAGGCCGGGTAAGTAAGATTAGTTTCTTGTTTCCATAGGCTTCTCACCCTAGTATATTACTTCTCCCCGAGTTAAGACCTTCGTTAACACGCCATCGTTTCCGCACCTCCATGGTACGTATAATACAATATCCCGAGGCATCTTAAGTGAACTAATTGGAGGCCTTGCATCTCACTAACAGATAGTTGATAAATATCATTGAATTTTACAGCCCGAGCCTCGAAACAAAAGCTTTACTACAAGAATAGCTACGGAGGCATTAAAGGACTTATTCATAGGGTCCGGAATTACCTTGCAGTTGTCCCTAACAGAAATTTAGGCATCATGTCAAAGCTCTGGAACTTCCTTGCCATGGTCTGGTATCAGCTGACTTTCAAGCCTCAGCCACTCCCCGACAATATTCGTCTTGATGGACTAACGGCGATCGTGACGGGTGCAAATGTTGGCCTGGGCTTCGAAGCCGCTAAGGAGCTAGCATCTCACGGACTATCAAAGTTGATTTTGGCAGTGCGCGACCTATCCAAGGGAGAGGCAGCGAAGGCCGAAATTTCTCGGGAGGCACCTGAATGCGAGATTCTGGTATGGAAACTAGACCAGGAGTCGTGGGAAAGTATGGTGACGTTCTCTAGGCGCGTGAGCATCGAGCTTGATCGTCTTGACATTGTGCTGTTGAATGCGGGGCTGAAGCGGCTTGAATTTACTCAGTCGCCGACAGGTCACGAGGCACACATTCAAATCAACCATCTCGGCACAGCACTACTGTCGCTGCTACTCGTGGAACCACTGCGACGGACAGCGCGACAGACTGGAAAACCTAGTCGAATGACTATCACAGCCTCTAGCGTTGCCTTTGCGGCCCCCGTGCAGGACATCCTGGAGCCCAAAGGTGGAAAAGGCATCATTCCCTGGCTCGACAATCCGGGTTCATTCATCCCAGGTGACAGTCGCTATTCCCTTTCAAAGCTGCTAGATGTGTTGTGGACACGAGCCCTCGCTGCCCGCCTCGATCCTACCGATATCATCCTCAATACTCTCAACCCTGGGTATTGCAAAAGTGCGTTCCACCGCGTAGATGCGACCGCAGAATGGGCTTCAAGTTTTCTGGCCTGGAGTAGCGCCGAGGGTGGTTACCACCTAACGGATGCTGTTGTGCGACACCCGGATAGCCACGGTGAATATTTAAGTGAGCAAAGGATTAGACCGTGAGTCAACCCATTTCGCGGTATTAGATGTGTTTCTCCAACTAATGAACCGTCTAGTGTTCCCAGGATCGCGTCGTCAGCCAAGGGCAAGGAGGTTCAGACGAAGTTATGGGATGAGACGATAGCCTTGTTCAAAGCGGAGTGTCCAGATGCTAATATCGATGAATTCACTAGAGGTGAATAGGGGTTGACTGATAGATAGCGCGAGTGTGGGCCAGTACCGACAGACATCTAAGGTGGTTCAATAAAGGGTGATCGGCTACTTCCTACCCACCCGGAGATATTAAAGAATGCCGAGCGATTGAAAGTAGGAAATTCCTTAATCGATATTAAAGGATTTTATCTACAACCTCAAACTAGAAGATTCATTAGAATGACACGTAGTTTGGGTCCAAGGCCCTCGCCTCAGGCGTGTGTAGAGGTTCCTGTAAAGCAAAGAAATGGAGACTGGAAACAAACAATAATGGGGTTTTAGAAGTGCGTGTATGTAACCCGAATTATGTAGATGACTCTGAGCTGAGCATGTTCGAAGATGGAAAACCCCAGGATAAGGTAGAGGTAGGTAGTCACATGGCACCCAAGAACGGAACCAACCACATATCGTTAGCGATCACCTTTAGAGATGATAAAAATACCTACAATGCCATCAGGTAGTACAATTCTGTCCCAAGGCCATAGTATTATTCATTTCGCAAACATAGCAGTAGAAAGCTCATGTGTAGAATCATGCGAAATACCTGGGTAGAGATGTCGTAAAACAGCTAAGGCATGATGTGACTGCACCAATTGCAAAGAGAGGGGTCTTTATACTACCGACTAGAGGTAGGGATGTAGTAAAGAATAAAGAAAATACTCCAAAGCGATAAATATTAGTTCAGTAATTGATCATCCTGGAATGGCTTGCTGGGGATGGCCTATCAGTTGAAATACCTAGGCCCTGCTGGAACGCGCGAAAAGAGCAGGGGAGGGATGATGGAGGGATGAGAGGTGAGGAGATCCGAGTAGTACCATCTTCCTAGCCGTTTTGTTTATCCCCGGCAGGTGCTGGGTGTTGATCCCAAGATGACGACAAATGATTAAATGGTAGATTGATAACCAGGCAAATTCAATCGGGTAGAAGGTCAAATCAGTTCCTTCGCTCCTCGTTTCATTTGTCGCATGGCTTTACATCGTACCAGGTAGAATATCAGGCGCGCGGCAGCGATCACGCACCAGTGAAATGATCGAACGTGGTCATAGTTGAGTTGGAGGACCCAGGTAGGAAGTGGAATAGATGCCTACCTATGTAAGGCACCTATATATGGTATATATATGCCCTTAGCTCAATTCAGTGAAATCAGGTGTCGTCAATGATGGGAGCTATGCGATACGTGGGATAAAAATCAATCAGGTGCGCTAATGATAAAATGATGAAAAAGGTAGAAGAAGAGGAGGGGGGAGACGGGAAATAGATTTCTAATTAAGAGAAGGGGAAAACATCAATTCATTTAGGTAGGTACAATACATCTTAGGTAAGTAGGTACCTATCTTAGGCAGTTACATATAATTCAAGTCGGAAAGAGCATACCTAACTGCGGAAAGATGAGGGCAGCAAAGTAATAAAAGATCCAAGATTTTCAAGCAATCACGGACATTGTGTTATCAAACTCATGCGCCCCAACCCTTTCGATCCTATCTTCCCATCTTTTTGGTCTATTTTTCTTTTCCTTACCCCCCCTCCCCTTTGATCACATCGGACCAATTCTAGACCTGATTAGCCGGGTCTGTTTATGCGACATGCTGTCACTTTGATTTTAATTACTATTATTACCTTGTTCCAAGTTCCAAGGTATTATTCGAGGTATTATTTCGGCTAGGTTGGGTGGTGTTGCGAAGGAGGAGCTATCGGATCTATCGAATCGAATCAGTGCCTGGGCGCGGCAAGAACAACAACACACCTCATGTAGGTACCTGCCCTGCCCTAATCACCTTGCTGCCCTTTTGCCCTTTTGCCCTTTTGCCCTTTTGCTCTTCTGGCTCTCTTCGCTCTTAATCTTCCCTCACCCTCCCCCATCGATTCTATTTTTTCTCCCCTTTTACAACTTTTATTCTTCTACTCTTCGTTTTAATCTGTACCTATTCAAACCACATAATCGATTTGCCAATTTCAAACAGTCAATTTATTCCACAAATTTTCGCACTCGCGTCCACTCACCGCTTAAAAGTTCTTGTAAGCTGCCCAACCCAAAATCTTTCCTTTCCGCGCCCATCTCTGTTCCCGGTCGCATTGCGTTTCGCATTCGCGCCTTGTGTCGCTTCGTGCATCTCGTAGCTTCATGCATCACGCTACGTTATTTGCTAACATTTGATGTAGAATTTATTAAACTTTTCTCTTAAGCAAATAACCAAGATGCCTCGTGAAGGAACGCGATCTGCCACCGGCAACTCAAAGCCGCGCGTCTTCCAGACTGTTGACACCGCGCCCGCTATTAAACGTACCACTAAGTCTAGGGTGAAGAAGTCGCCCACCGCCAGCACCAAGCCGGCACCTAAGGTGAAGGCTGCAAAGCCGACTGGCGTGACCAAGAAGAAGTCTGCGGCACCTAAGAAGGACGGTGTCGCGACTAAGGTAAGCTTTCTACCCTTCATCATAAATTTACATGTTATGTACAGCGTCATATCACCCATTATTGAGAAGCTCCTGGTGGGCTAGGTTTCCATCCAGTCTTACTACTCTCGGCCGTCCCTTCATGGATCCTAAGCCTTCCATTATCTCGTATTAGTTTTGGTTAAATCACGTCGCTATTAAACGCTTGTTAATGACCTATTTTCTGACATTGACCATAGGTTAAAGCCGCTGTTAAGAAGGCAGAAGAAAAAGTAGAGAAAGTAGAAGAGAAGGTCAAGAAGGTGACTATTCCCCGAGCCAATAGTTAACCTGCAGGCGTCTTATTAACTCGTTTCGCAGACCGTAGCAAAGCCCAAGACAGCTGCTAAATAGATCTATTGTCGTTCATCACTATCGGTTTCAGTCTATATGGCTCAGACCATAGACTCGACAGTGTGAGACGATCACTCCGGGTTCTATCATCTACTAGCTTCCG